AACTCTTTAGCTCCAAAGGGAAAAAGTTACTGTTATCTACTCATGTATAAATCTATAAATCAGAAAAGGAACCATCCTCTTCTCTGAGTAGAGTGATGAAAAATGAGAAGTCCATCCCAGGAGAACATGAAAGAAGGACCAAACCCCTGTCCTCTCTTTGCCACAGCACCACATCTAAACTTTTTGAATGCTTGGATGGAAAAAATGACAACATTGGCAGCTCTTTGGGCAATTTCCTTCAAAGGAGCAACAAGAGGAACCAGGCATTAAAAAATCTGAATAAGGCATTTGTATATATTTATCAGCTTTCCTGGGCAAAATTAGCATTATAGCATTTAAGGCTATAACCACTACTAATGTAGCCACCATTTTCTTTGATTTGTCTTTTCATCCTTTTTGACATATGTGCATTTTGTTAACCCTCTCCCCCTGTACCTGGTCGCCTCCCTCATACATCACACAGCCACAATTTACTGTAATTCCCTCCTCATCCATCCAGCCTTTAGGGTGAGCACAAATAGTTATGTCTGCCAGAATTTTGTAAGTGCTTTTACATTGTTTTCCTTTGCTTCATCCTTTACCTCCTCTGTTGCATTCCTATAAGTTTTCTCTTTAATTTTTCCATGGGTCATATCAAAACCCATAATTCTGGCCCCAAAATCTGCCCTTGACTTATACATGAGGTCAACTTATAGTTGACTATATATGATAAATCAAGGGACCTTATGCAGCATGTGAAATCACATTGATCATGCACTAAATTGGAATCAGAGGCATGGAATCAGTACAGCAAAGCAGGACTTTTAAGGAGAAGTCCAGAGCTCCATTCAGCAAAATATCTAAAAGTGTCCCCAATGTGACACAGGCTTACCACAAGTTGAAGTAAGTGAAGTAATACACCTTGGCCTGCCATCCCATGGGCACTGTGTCTTTTTGTAAAACAAAAAGGAGGTGAGAGAGAGGAAGCCTGCAGTCTTGGTTTCATTTTTGATTCCTCTTTATCATTTATCCCTCAGATTCAGGCCACAGCTAAGGCCTGTAGATTTTTTCTTTATAATATTTCCAAAATCCGTCCTTATCTCTCTCCTTCTACTGCAAAGACTTTGGTCCATGCCCTAGTGGTCTTGCAACTCGACTACTGTAACCTTCTCTTGGCAGGGCTTCCTCTCTCTCACCTCCACCCACTGATTTCTGTTCAGTACTCAGCTGCCCGTATTATCTCATTCGCTCGCCGATATGACCATGTCTCCCCCCTTTTGTCATCCCTTCACTGGCTCCCCTTTCCCTCCCGCATTCAGCATAAGCTTCTCTTGCTCACTTTCAAAGCCCTGCATGGGCTCGCCCCTCCCTATCTCTCTGAACTTCTTTCTCCCTACACCCCCTCTCATTCCCTCCGTTCTGGTAGCCAAGGTCTCCTGTCCCAGCCCCAGATTTCCACTTCCCCATCCCAGATTCGTCCCTTCTCGCTCACTGCCCCTCACTCCTGGAACCTCCTTCCCTTACAAGTACGACTCAACATGTCCCTAACCAGCTTCAAAGCCGAGTTAAAGACCACACTATTTAGGGAAGCGTTCCCAGGGAGTCTGTGATCGTGACCTGGTTGTTCCTCATGCGTGACTTAATGCTGGATATTTGATGTTTTAACTTCTTTTTTATGATGTTTTAATTTGTTGTTTTAACTTTTAGATTGTACGCCACAGGCAGGCTTTTTTATATATTCTTGATTTGGTTTTGTACAGCACTGTGTACATCTACAGTGCTTAATAAATACAGCTAATAATAATAATAAAACAATTCAGAGCCAACCCCCCCCCCCTAATTTCACAATGGAATAGAATTCTAGCAAAAACTGCTTTTATAATAAGGTTGTACTTCTTAGCCTTAACCTGAATCACTCTTGTTTAAAATCATCCTTTTTATCAGCATCCTTCATGACTGCGTCTTTGTGAAATCCCATGGTAATAATATATAGAATTTTGGTAGATGAATTATAGAGTAAATTACAGTGGCCAATAAATACCTTTGCATTAATACTTGTAAAATGGAAAAGTGCAGGTCTTCTCTGTAGCACTGTAATGATCATACATTTCCAATGTACCTATAAATCAAAAGGAGAGTGAGGGAGACAGTAAGAGCAAGAGTGAGATGGATTAACAAAGTGCAAATATTGTGGTATAAATAATTGTACTTCTTCAAACTGTAGGCAACTAGGGATACCTTTTTTGAACTCTTCCCCTTCAAAATAAAACAAATTTCTCTGTGTATAGAAAACAAGTGCACCAGAAAGAAAGTCCATCTCTTTCTTTCCTGGGAATGAATATTTCTATCTGCTGTGTTAATGTAACTCCTTTCAGTCGCTGGCTTGACCCAAGTGGCAAGAAAACCCAGGGGAAGGGACTGTATAAGGTGCTGAAAAATTCTTGGCCATTTCTCAAAATTTGAACATATTTCTGTCACTGTAGCTTGAAAGAGTATATTTGCAGGATCGTAGCCCTAATTTCTGATTTTTTTTTCCAAATCATTGATAGAACCATGTCAGTGAAAAGTGTGGAATGTTCATACACTGAACTTTGCATTCCTGTGATATCTCTAGTGTCTCAGCAATTATTTTAGCTGCGATTCACTGATCTGTCAAAATCAGGTCATGAACATGTTCAACAATTTTAGGAGTTGACATGTAGAAGGCCTCCCAGACCTTACTGCATCTTCAGTCTCAAAATCTCCATGCTGGAAATTGGCCCACCACTTCTTCACAATTGAGTATCCCAGGTGCTTGTCACTTAATGTTTGCATCATACACTCACAGATTTCCTATGGAGTTTTCTTCTGCAGGAACAGGAACTTCATGATGACCCAAAGTTCAGCATATGAACATTCCACAGTTTTCACTGGCATGGTTCTATCAACTAACTCAGGGGTCGGCAATCTGCAGGACATTACAGGACAATGCACCTACTTACAGGGCTGGCAAGAAGATAGATGTTTTGAAGAATATGGGGTTTGAATGCATAACTATCCACTCTGCTCACCAGATCTTGCTTCATCTGACTATCCACTCTAATCACCAGATCTTGCTCCATCTGTTTCTAAACCTTAAATAGAGTTTGAAAGAAAGGAAATTTTCCAATGATTTCTAATGATTCAGAGGTGATAGCAGCAGCAGAACAGTATTTCAGTGACCAGACATCAGATTTTTTTTTAAGGGTTAAAGAAACTTGAGAAACAATGTGCCAAATGCATCATACTTGTATATGTGGAAGAGCATGTAATTTTCATGAATCTAGGTCATTCCCTTCTTGGCTGGGCTGACAACTTTTCATCAAACCCTTGTACTTGCCTGGGAGCATTTGGAGGGAGAGATAGAGAAGAGCTACAGTTCCGAGGGCTAAAAAGTAGGCCATTAAATAAGGTAGTAGGATTTTCATTTTGTGAGTTTATGAGGGAACAAAAGGATACATTATTTGCATGCAATTTCTATTTTGCATTTGTATCTACTTCATGGGTTGTTTTTTTTTTAGGGCTTTACAGTTAGTTGCATCCAAGTGTTGCAATACTATGAGCAATACAGTCAGAAGAGTCCCGTAATCAAGTCCCACATTTGGCATCTCAATGGCATCTCAATGGATGCATAGAACTTTTGGGATAGGATATGTATGTTAAATTTAATATATTATTGGTAAATTGTTGCTAAAAATGTATTGAGACTTAAATTGTGAATGTATTTGCAATATTCAAGGAGCTACATTCTAAGTATATAGCTGTGTGTGTATGTATGTCATCCATTGACTTATGGAGACCCCATGCAATCCATACAGTTTTCTTAGGTGAGGAATACTCAGGAGTGGTTTTGCCAGTTTCTTTTTCTGTTGTTGTTGTGTGCCTTCAAGTCATTTCTGTCTTATGGCAACCCTTAAGTGAAACTATCTTGGACATTTCTTGGCATGATTTGTTCGGGGGGATTGCCTTTGTCTTTCACTGATGCTGAGAGAATGTGACTTGCCAAAGATCACCCAGTGAGGTTTCCATGGTCTCCCAAAGTCATAGTACATCACACTACACTACACCACATCTTCTCTCTATCCCAGTGGCATTGGTAGGGAGGTGCAGGGTGTATGGACCACACTGGGTGACACTTGGTCGGCTCCTCCATCTTGGTACCATTGCCTTGTTCTCCTGATGGGAACAGCATCATGAGGAGAATGAGGGATAGGCACCAAGGGAGACAAGTGTCCCTCACCTCATTGCTGTCGCATCGATTCGGTGCACTGCAGGGAGGGAGCATGCACAGCCCCCCTCACTGTGTGCCACTCTACACATGAGTAGAATGGCCCATGGCAAGGGGTCTGGGCATGCTCTCTCCCTGCCACACACTGCTCTACATGTGATTAAAACAGCATGCTGTCTCCCTGCCACACACTGTTGTACTCATGGGTAGAGCAGCATGTGGCAGCAAGGTAGGTGGCTCCTTTTTGGGGCCCCCAGAAGCACCACCCAGAAACTTTGCCCCCTGCACTGGGTGACAGCCCAGGTAGAGATGCCACTGCTTTTTCCTTCTTCTGCATTCTAGTACACAGTAGTTCCCACTCACTTGGCCACCACTTGCAGTCTCAGATGATATCAATCAAGTCTATAATCCTAGTGTTCAGCAAGCTTATTCTTATGGAGACATGGGCTCTTTAGGAAAATATTCCAGTGCATGATTTGAACCCATTAGGTTTAGTTATCTACAAAATACTAGCAATGGGTAATAGAGAGTAGTTCCAGTTTTCAATGTTTGCTTTTGTTGCATGCCATCAAGTTACTTCCAACTCAAGGTAGCCCTGTGGTGAACCTATCACAGGGGTTGTTGTGTGCCTTCAAGTCATTTCCAACTTATGGTGACCCTGAGGTGAACATATCACAGGGTTTTCTTGGCAAGAAGTGTTCAAAAGTGGGTTTACTTTTTGCCTTTTTCTGAGGCTGAGAGTGTGACTTGCCCAAGGTGATCTAATGGGTTTCCATGGCCAAACAGAGATTTGAACCCTGGTCTCCAGAGTCACAGTCCAATGCTCAAACCACTACACCACACTGACTCACCTGGCAAGATTTTTTAAGAGTAGGTTTGCCATTGCTTTCCTCTTAGGCTGAGAGAGTGTTACTTGGTCAAGGTAACCCTGTGTGTTCCTTTGGGTGATGGGGATTTGAACCCTGGTCTCCTGGACCACCCTGACTTTCTTTCAGTGCTCAGTTTCATTTTTTAATGAGAACTTACACAGCTTTGCATATTTCTTCATAGTCAACATGGAAAGTACTTAAAAAAAAAAAACACAGACTGGCAGATTTGCTTGTTCAGGGCCAGGTTTTTGAATTCTCAACTCTTACAAGTCTTGATTTGAATTTCAATGTATCCATCCATTTAGTAATGGAATTAGGGCTGCTGTCCCCTTTTTTCGGAGGTGCACCATCATTTTTACCTGTGTGGCAGGTAGGTGCACTATTGATCCTCTCTGTTCTGGAAATAGCTGCATCTATTCAATTTGCTTAATGTACAAAACTGAATCATAAAGTTGGAAGGTACACCAAGGGTCATCTAGTCTAACCCCTTGCCAGTGCAGGAATCCACAGCTAAAGCACCCCTAAAAGGCTGGGTATCCAATTTAAAGATCTCCAAAGGAGAGACTTCCACTACCTGAGGCTGTGTGTGTGTGTTGGGGAGGTAATCAATTAATTTTAAAATAACTGATCAAGATTTGTAAATTTAATGTTTGGGATATAAAGAGATTGTAAAAAAAATGAAAGTGAGAGAAAGTAAAACAGATGGATTTCCCCATCCCTTCCCTGTCGAACTCTTCCTCATGGTGTGAACATAGAAATGAATGGAAAGATTCACCTGCCTCTTGAGAAAAAAAATAATCATATAAAAACAGCCAAGAGATCCTGGTCTCTTTATCATTTCATTCTCACCTCTTTGTGTACTGTTCTTACAACAGAACTCATTACCAAGAGCCTACATGTGGCATTTTGCTACCTGATACAAATGGCAATGTGATGTTTCCCTGTTCTATGGAGAAACACAACTTACTTAGACATTGGTGAAGAGACCCTTAGGGCAGCTGGACAGCTGAGAGAATGGCACACTACTAGCTGTGTCTATTCCCTATCTGGATAGTAGAATGCTGTGGCAGTTTATTTCAGCCTCTTTCTTTGGCCAAATGATACAAGCCAGTTCAGACAATCAAGATGGCTGCTCCAAGGGGTGCATTTACACTGTAGAAATAATGCAGTTTGATACCACTTTAAGCACTGTAGCTCCATCCTATGGAAACCAGGGATTTGTAGTTGTACAAGATATTTAGCCTTCTCTGCCAAAGAGTACTTGTGCCTCACAGAACTACAAATCCCAGGATTCCGTAAGATGGAGTCATGGCAGTTGAAGTGGCATTAAACTGCATTATTTCTACAGTGTAGATACAACCAAGGTCTCAGATATTTCTCTGGTTTATTTCTATGTTCACACCATTAGGAAAGCTTCAACAAATATCATGTGGGGATGAGGAAAGCCATCCCTCTCACTTTCTCCTGCTTTCACTTTTGTAAGATCTTAGGTTCTTTATTTCCAGACATGAACTTTGCAAGCTTGTGCATTTTAAAAGACTATAATTTTTGTTGCTGTTAGTAGGAAAAGGTCTGAGCTTTTTTCTCTAGCTATCAAGCTGTCTTTCACACTATGCAATTATATCATGCTGAGCCTACATTTTAAACAGCCATGGCCTCATCTTATGGAATCCTGGGATTTAGTTTTGTGCAGTTTTTAGATTTCTCTGTCAGAGAACTTCAGTCCGTCACTCCTCTACACATTCCAGGATTCTCTACCATTGTGACAAAGAAGGATCAAAGTGCTGCAGCTATGAAGAAATACGGTATGTTTTCTCTTAAAATAAAAAAAAAGTATAAACACCAAAGCAAAGCAAAGCAAAGCAAAGCAAAGCAGATTCATTTATATACCGCTTCATATTGTGCTATGGGATGTCTAAGTGGTTTACAACTGTAAGCTCATTGCCCCCCAACAGTTGGGTACTCATTTTAGTGACCTCGGAAGGATGCAGGCTTGAGTCTAGTCTGAGCCCTGGCTAGTATTGAACTCGCAATCTTGTGGTCTATGAGTGAGTGGCTGCAGTACAGGCATTTAACCACTGCGCCACCAGGGCTCCTCCATGGTTGATCCTTCTCCTTCTCAAAGCTTGCAAGTAGTATGTTTCAAATAACAAGTTACTTATAATTAATACATTTTATAGGAATTAAGGTAGAATTTAGCCCCATTATGATTGTAACAAAATAAGGTACAATATTATTCCTTTTCTATTGTGGCTATTTTGAGTTTATAGTTACAGTGTGTGGTCTCACTATGTAGCTGTTTTGTTCCACAGGCCAATTGCTTGTAGTATTTTGAGGATTTTTTTAAATAGGAAAATGCTTAAAATTAAGTATTTTAGCTGTTTTTGAATAAAAAAAAACTTTACAAAGTAATTATAATGCCCTCTAGGAGGATGTAACTGGATATAAATCAGAAGTGAGTTCTGGTCATTTCCTAAACTGGGGGAAAAGCCTCTTTTGGGCTTAAATTGGCCCCAGGGAGAGGTAAAATAAGGTGAAAATGTTTATTTTGTGGTGGAGTTATGGTGTGCCCCTCCCCCACCAAGTATGAAGGAGAATGAATCCAACATATGCTTGCGTTTTAGAGGTTTCAGTAACAGAATAACCAAAATTTATATCTGGGAATAAATCAAATGAGGGAGTAATGTATCCCCTAGCCTCTCACAGTTGCCCCCCCCCCCCCGTTCTATACTATGGAAGCTTAAATGACATTGGTATGAAGTGGCATAAAGGTCTCTGCCTGCATGACATTAAAAACATTTGCTTAAATTTCACCAGTTCATCTGCTTTAATTCATCTACTTTAATTCCAGTTTCAAGTCACAATCAGCTTTATTGGTCAGTGTTTTAGGTAAGGTAAAGGTATTCCCCATTGACAAAGTTGTCAAGTCATGTCCAACCGTAGGGGGTGGTGGTCATCTCCTTTACTAAGCCTAAGAGCCAGCGTTGTCAGAGACTACTCTGTGATCATGTGGCCAGCATGATTGCACAGAATGGAGTTTACCTTCCCACCAAAGTGGTACCTATTTATCTACTAGCATTTGCATGCTTTCTAACTGCTAATTTGGCAGAAGCTGGGACTAGTGATAGGAGCTCAGCCCATCATGCAGCACCTGGGCTTCAAACTGCCAACCTGCTGATCTTGCAGTCAACTGCATCCCTCTAGGCCTCCTTTATTTATAGGCCTCCTTTATTTAGGCCAATAAAAGTGTAAATGTGGTTTCATAAATTCTTGATAATTGGCTCCAGCATACTACTGTGAAATTGAGCACACTGTAGTAGATTTTGGACCTGCAAATGAGCACCATCGGTGTCACTTGGATTTTGTGTCTTAATCTTACAGGAAGAATATGCTGCCTTCCCAAAGTTCAGACAGTAGCCAGGAAGTTCAGAAAGCAGCAAAGCAAATCTCTCTTTTGCTCCACCTCTAATCCTTTCTTATTCTTTGAAATGGAAACCTTTCAAGGGGAAATGCAGAATGTTTCTTTGGCTGTAAGATTAGAAATAACAGTCTGGCTAAAAGTGGATTGCTGTATACAGAGAGATAGGTTGTGGTTTGCTTTGGACAGAAACACATTCTTAGGATGCAGATCCAAGTGCTTATTTCATTGAGCAAATGGGATTTACATACATGTTGATTTACCATTCACAAACTGATCCTATGAGTACTTAAAACATATGTTCTATGCTCAGGAAAGACCATAGTTTAGTAGGATAACATATTATCTTACTGTAGGCAAAGTCCCAGGGTCAAGCCTTAACCTGTTCATTTAAAAGGATCAGGTAGGAGATTATAGGAAGACCACTACTAGAAAACCTAGATAGTCACTGCCAATCAGAATAGACTAGAATGAGCTAAAAAGACAAAGATTGCCATCTGGTATAAGGCAGTTTATTTTATTTATTTCTGCTAAAATGTTATATTCCACCTGTCTGGGCTTACATAGCACTGAAGTCAGGTAATAATGAAAAACAATTGTAAAATAAATATCCTGTGTGCGCACACATGCACACTAAGTCACCTGTTGACTTAAGGTGACTCCATAAATTTCATAGAATTTTCTTAGGCAAGGAATACTCAGAGATGGTTTTGCTAGTTCCTTCCTCTAGAATATATCCCACAGTATCTGGTATTCCATTCAAGCACTAACCAGAGCTGACCCTGCTTAGATGCGAAGATCAGATGGGATATGATACCTTTCAGTTATGTAGGCCTTTTATATCCCCCCTACAATGTAATAAAAACACAAATGCCTGTAAGCTCAATATGTACTGTTTGAATTGCAGACAGAAACCCCAGTAGAAACATTTATGATTCTGGGGTAAATTGATGGATGCAGCTATTGATGCTTATTATCTGTAAAATAAGTCAAGGAACATTGGGGTCAAACGAGATGGTAGCAGAGAGACAACAGTGTAGATTCTCAGTGACTAAAGCAACACTCAAAAGAGAGATAAAGCAAGATGTGTAGCATGGTGTAATAAGGGCAGTGGGAAATTCCCAGTCCACATAGAAAAAGCCAAATCAAGGAAAAAGCTGGAAGCATTCTCAGTGTATAGTTAACCAGGGGTTTTTGGAAATTTTGCAGGAGAAACACTAGGATTTATGTAGATCTGTCCTCTTTAATGTGTTTATTGGTCAGCTATCAGCAGTACTGGTAAACATGTGAGGAAGGGTGCAAATCTTGTTTCATAGAATATTTGTATTTAAAACTGAAATGGAATCTCCTGATGAAGAAGGACTGGATGATTTGGCCCAGAACATGGAAACTATGAGCAACTTTTGGCTGAATTTAACACCCTTAGATAATAAGATTTTTTTTCCCCTTTAGCAAGTTTGGATGGTTCTTTACATATTTCTAGTATTTTTTATGTCTATTAATGGACAAATCATGTCCCAGATAATGGCGAATAAAAGAAATGTTCTCAGAATAAAAAAA